CAGAAACCACTTTTCAGCAGTGGCATGGACATGATCAAGAAAGGTGCAGTTTTTTAAAAGAGTGATACTTGCAGCTAGTCCAAGCTGCTGATAATCCGTCAAATAAAGGGGTGCCAACTTCAGGAATTTTTACCAATTTAATAATTTGTACCAGATGTCATCCAAATGTTGCATGAGTCACTCCCAAGATTAGTATTTTAATATCCAAGTATTTGTCAGCAAACTTGAACTATGCCAGCAAAAAATATGGAGTGTCAAAAGGACCACTATTATTTTAACTACCTTCGCTCTTCAGTAATGATTATTAAGAAGGGATGATTAAAGTTATAATAATACCTAACCATATGATGAAAGTAAATTTATGCATTTTTGTTTTTGCACTTTGAGAATTTACAACAAAAATATTAAGCACTATTTATTTATTAGATTGTTTATTTACAAGAATAATTTTATATTTACAACATTCTAAAAAATTAATACAATTGTATAAAAACTAATGCAATATCTATCATTTACCAATTTATAAAGAAATAAATATGAAAACAATTTTTTATTCATAAATTTATAAACATTTACTAAAATATGTGAACCAACTATAAGGAAATCCTTATTATTTACCCTTTTATAAAGTTCAAATCAGTTGGCAATTCACTGATGTTTTGCCAATAATTCCAATAGACAATCTAATAAATAGTGTTTATTATTTTTGTTGTCAATTCTCAAGAGCAAGGAGAGTGTATAAATTCACTTTCGTATGTTTCAGTTTTATTACAATTTTAATCATTACTTTTTAAAACAATAAATATTGCTGAGGAGTGGTGTCGATGGAAAGCCGTCTTTTTGCCAGTGTTTTTTTGTGGCATGAATGTCCAAGTTTGCCTGTTTGCCTTCCAATAAGCCACTATGGCTGCTCTTAATTTTCCATTGCTGAATGACCATCAGCAAACCCAACCTGGCTCATGTTGAAGATCCCATTCACCAGAAGCAATTGTTTGGAAACCTCAAAGCACATTTTGTTCTGAATCTGACTCTCACTCCCAATCATTGTTCATGTTGCAGATGGCTTCAGCTCTGCAATAGCTGAAGAAGAAGATCATGTTTAGTCAACTTTTCTTTGGTCTTTTCATGTACGATGTTTCTTCAAGATGTAGGTAAACATAGCTATCCACAACTTTCTATCATTTGTAACTCTAAGGAATACTATCCCTCCCAGTCCCTGTTCTGCTATCCATTTACACAAACTTATTAAAAAATATTTCCCTCTGTCTCTCTTGCCTTCAGTATGCCCTGTAAGTGTCAAAGTTTCCAGGCCTTCTTTTCTCATTATGTCTTCCAGAAAATTTTAACTGTCTCTCTAATTTTATGTATAAATGTCCTTTTTGCTTCCATTTTCCTTATAACTTTCTTATTGTTCACATGTTCAGTCCATGGTATTCTCAGCCTCCTTCTGTAGAATCACATCTCTGTTGCCTAAGTCTTCTCTTCATCTGAGAGGAAATTGTCCAGTATTCTCTGCCATATATGATAATTGATATTACATAGCAGGTCAGCACTCTTTTATTTTAAGTGTCTTTTTTCTTGAAACTTCCTTATTGTTCACATGTTCAGTCCATGGTATTCTCAGCCTCCTTCTGTAAAATCACATATCTGTTGCCTCATGTCTTCTCTTTAATTGAGAGGAAATTGTCCAGCATTTACTACCATATAGGTTGATTGATATTATATAGAATTTCAGCAATCTTTTCTTTTCTGCTAACAAAACAAAATTATAAAGGTAATCAGAAACTTCAAAGAACACTCAAAAAGAAGATGCAGAATTTTAAATGATATGTCCATGACTAAAGTGAAGAAAACAATGTGAAAAATCTGATTGCACTAATGCAATACAAAAACAATGATTTATTTTGTTCTAGTGTAAGAGGGTGGGGGCTGTAAAGTTCATAGGCTGACTATGAAAGAATGATGCTAGAACTGTGAAATCTTGCATGCATTAATTTCAACTCTTCTTATCATTGTTTTTTTTTCCAGGTAAACTGACATCTGATGGTTCAAAGAAGACTTCAAAGGTAACTAGTAGTGACTTCTCTTGAAAATGGACAAAATTTGGCATCATGGTGTTATCATGTACCTGCCGAAAAGGGTTTAGCTCCCAAGGAAATTCATGGTTTCTACATTAGGGGATGATACTCCAGCTTTGTCAACAGTGCAAAAGTGGGCAACTGAATTTAGGAGTGGAAGGGGTAGTCTTGAAGATAGGTCTGGAAATCCTGCAACTGCCACTACCAAGGAAAACATTGATTGTGTTCACCACATAGTGATGGATGACAAGTGATTGACTATAAATGAAATAGTCAATGCTGTTAGCAATCCTGTCAAGTTGAGAATATTCTGCACAATTAACTTGGCATGATGAAGTTTCCTGCTTGGTGGGTGTCACATTTTCTGACACCAGTTTGATCCCATCATGGAAAAACCTGACATTGTTTGAGACAGTTTGGTTTCCTTGAACATTTCCTGTGGTATGATCCATCTCCTCCATTACTGGATCTGTCCTGAACACATATATTCAGAACTCTGCTGATATGCAGAGTTTATTAAAACTCATAGGAGATAGGCAGTCCACTGCCTGGCTATACTTGTCAACCTCTCTGCCTGGAGGCAAAGAGGAACCCAGATGAGGCTATGTCGAAGGGCAGAGTCTTGTCTGGGGAGGTAGACAGCTACCCAACTACAGTGAATTTTTGCCCAGGCCTATGGTCTTGAGAAGACCCACATTAAACCAGCCTTGTGTCACACCCTGCTCTGTAAATACCAAGTTTATTAAAGCTTACTGATAGGCAATAAATATTGCCTTGAACAATTCTACTACAATTTAATATGGGGAGCACAAAATAGTTCCTTAATGGAAGCATTGTGAAAGTAAATTTGTGGAAAATTTACCCATGCCTAAGTGGCAATAGCTAGCTCATCTCTTTCCATACAAATACTGTTTAGTTAATCTACAAGTAAACGGTGCTCTATACCAAGGAGTAAGATGTCTACTAATGAAAGATCTATGTTACAACCTAATATTAGGGCACAACTTCTTACACCAACACTCATTAGTAGAAATACCCTTTCAGAGGCCCTATGCCACTCTTTAAAGTCTGTGGCCTAGCAACTATGAGAATGCCATACCTAGATCTCTTTAACATTTTAATACTAGGCTGTAAACCAGTAGCTACTAAATCTAGGCAAAACACGGAGGAGAATAAATTATTTATCCAAACCAAAGTTACTCATATGTTGAAAGAAAGAATAATCAAACCCAGCTATTTGCTGTAGAGAGCCCATTATAGTTTTCTCTGAGAACAGAAAAAAGTGAATGGTAATTGATGATTTCCAAGCAGTAAATTGGTTTACTTTGTTGGATGCCTACCCTTTTCCAAGAATAGATGATATGATAGAGAAAATAGCCAAAAACAATCTATTTAAGACTCTGGACCATAAAAGTGCCTACCATCAGGTAGCTATAAGATCCAGCAATAATCCCTATATGGCTTTCAAGGCCAGTGGCAAACTCTACCAAAATCCACCCTCTAACAACAGTATTAAACTTCCCGTTATCTCCTAGAGCAGAGAAAGTATTTTAGAAGTTAAAGAGGGGCATAGCAAAAGCAGCCATCATTATGCCCAATCATACACTACCTCTGGTAGTAGAGACAGATGTCTCAGAATGCACCATAGCTACCTCTTTAAGACTGTCAGAGAGGCCTATAGACTTTTTCTCCAGAACCCTATCCAAATCAGACTGCAGGTATTTTACAATAGAGAAAGAAGCCTATGCTATTGTCGATTCAGTGAGAAAATGGAGACATTATTTGATCAAGAAACATTTTAAACTAATTACAGACCAAAAATCAGTCTCATTCATGTTTAACCTGAAAACAACAAGCAAAAGTAAAAATGAGAAGGTAGCCAAATCATGTTACTCGTTTGATGTAATGTACCACCCTGGTAGCGAATGTGAAAGAAACCACCAAATTGTGTAAGACTTACACTGAAAATAAACCTAGGTTTTACCATCCTAACACCAGGAAGGTTATAAAAGCGATGCAGACCTTAGAAAGAGTTCCATTAGATTTTAAAGGACCACTTCCATCAAAAACTCCTAACAAATATATGCTGGCAATAACTGATAAATATTCAGTTTCCTTTCACAATATCCTGCCCTGATGTGTCTTTTACAACAGTCTTAATCAGTTTTTGCTATCTTCAGTCTACCCACATATATCCATTCAGAGGGGCTTTTATGTCCAAACACATATGGTGATTCCTACAGGAGCAAGGAGTAGCCGTAAGTAGAACAACTCCATATAACCCTCAAGGTAATGGCCAGTGCAAGAGATAAAATAGAATAATTTGGAAAACTATTGAATTAGCAGCTGCTGATAAAGGGGTAGCTTTAGAGAATTGGGAACCACTACTCCCAGAGGCCCTGCATGCAATTAGAATGCTGCTATGCACCGCCACTAATGCAACACCCCATGAATGATTCCTCCCATTTCCTAGAAGTTTGACAGGAGCGTCCTACCATCTTGGCTCTTGAAACCAGGAGTAATATTACTAAAAAGACACATGTGACTGAATAAGAATGAGCTGCTGGTGGATCAAGTGGAGCTTCTAGATGCCAACCCCCAGTATGCATGTGTCCATTACCCTGATGGAGAGGAAGACACAGTCTCACTAAAGGAATTGGGGATGAATTGGGACCCACAAACCTAAGCAAGGGCTGTCCTCATGATACTTCAACTGACTATGAAGAAACAGAAGCATGGTTGCCTTTTGAAGATTACAAGGAACTCTTGACCTCTGGTCCCTCAAGTGGCGATGAACAGGTTTCACAGAAGAAAGCCCACCTACCTACCAATACTCATGGATAAGCAAGCCACTTATAGAATAATTACGAAAACGCAGCAGGATTAAATCCATTTCTAGCAAGAAAGAGGAAGAACATCATCATGCTCAGGGCAATCTGGCACGGTCTCACAGACAACAAAGGATGCCTGCTCGATTCAGGGACTTCTTCTCTTTGTAAGAATAAGGCAGGGAATAATGTGGTATGATACATCTCCCCCTTAATGTATCTGTCCTGAACACATATATTAAGATGAGTGTGGAGTTCATCACTTTGAGCCAGAGACAATCCATGCAGTGGAAACACTCCTCCCCACCTGCTTCAAAGAAGGCCAAGGTCATTTTATCTACAGGGAAGTTTGCTATATAGGAATAAAGTATTGCTGCTGACACTTGAGTTTGAACATAGATTGCCAGTGAGCAAACACAGGGGATCCCATTATTGAATTAAGTAGACCACATGACCGTAGAGGAAATGCATATATGGAAGGTAGCATGATGTCTAATTGATTGATATTTTTCTTCTATCCTTTATTATTATACAGACTGCTATTCTCTATTCTCTTCTCTACACTATTCTCTATTTGGATCAATATGGTGGTTACTTGTTGAGTGAGTATTATCAAGCAAGTATTAGTATGAGTTATTTGAAGGCGTCTAACGCCATTATTGTTCAACGGCATACTATAGTTGTATCTGCAATTACAAAGTGTCTACTACAATGAGCATTATGAAAGTGACAACCAGTATTCGTTGACAACACAAAAAAGTTGATGCGCAGATTTCAAAAGGGCCACACTACCAAGTGAGAGTACTATGCCAACTTGCTGAGGCAGTTATGAAAGGTTAACAAGAACAAATTAATGAAAGAGATCTTGTTCCAGGGGGATAATGTTCCAGCATCTAATGGCTGTTGTGTGTGAGTGTGGTTTTGAACTGGTTGATCACCCTCCCTATTCTCCTGAGTGTCTCCCTCTGACTATTATCTGTTCCCCAACAGGAAAAAACACTTGGCTGGAAACTAGTATCACAGTGATGATGACATCATATGTGCTGTTGATGACTTTTTTTTACCAATCATATGAAGGCTTCTTCACCAATAGGATCCAAGCACTGCAATACCAATGGAAGATGCGTGTGAACAGCAAGGTGGACTATATACCTCATTCTATTTTTTAATATCTCCCTAAATTTCTTAATATTTCTCACAACTGTTTATTTATTTAATCTTTATTTCTTTTTTTTAATATCTCCCTAAATTTCTTAAAATTGCTCATAATTCTTTTTCTTTTTTTTTCTTAATTTCTTTTTCTACTTAAATTTGTTATTATTTCCAAAGGTTGTTTGTTTATTCTTTCTTTCTTAATATTTATCACAACTGTTTACTTATTCATATTCTATCTTTCTTTCTTTCTTTCTTTCTTTCTTAATATCTCCCTAAATTTCTTAATATTTCTCAAAATTGTATACTTATTTATTCATTCTTTCTTTCTTTTCTTCTTCGTATTTCCCTAAATTTCTTGAAATTACTCACAATTTCTTAATATTTCTTATAAACTTCTATTAACTCTGCATATCATAACCTTTAAGTAGTTGCAGAAATATACCTGATGATATTACCTGTAGAATTTCCCCCAAGTTCACCTCATAGTAATAATTAGAAATCCAAGGAAGAATGAAAAGATATCAGCATTATTATAATGAACATCAATACTAATGAGAATACTTGAGAATTCAGGAAACTTGGTGTCACTTGATCATCAGGAAGTGGTATAAGACCCTACTGGTGTAATAACTCAACTAGTACCTAATAATAATGATCATGATTAGAATACTGATAATAACATTACCTTTATATCATTATCTTGTATTTTTGTAATTCCTTACAACTTAGGAGATTACTTTTATCAGCAACTGTACTCAAATTTGACTAAATAAAACTATATCCTACATGTCTATTGAGGACCCCAATATGGAAACATTTCAAACCTTATCAGGAGTATGACAAGAAGGAAATGAGAGCTCCGGTCTATTTAATATTTTCTTATTCTAAGAAAAGATTAAATAGACTGGCACATTTACAAGCACAGATGTGAAGTGATAAGCACTGTTCTTTTAATCATTCAATACTACCTCTCAAATCAATCTACTAATAGAAGACAGTGAACATGCTTTCCTTTCTAATGCCAAAGTATTGATGATGACAGGAGCTATGTTGATAAAATAGGTATTCATAGTTGGGATAAGAATTATATTGAACAGAAAATTAGCATCCTCTATCAAGCATTCCAAGAAATGGGGCTTTTAGCATCCTGCTACCACTTTCTTATCAATGTTGAATTTTGTACAATTTTGTGCAAAAAGTGGATCAGAGAGCCAACTCGGGCTTAGTAAATATTTTCAGGAAATAACAGCTTCTAATTGGTCAATAAACAAACAAGTGGGTGTTGCAATCCACTCACATACAAATATTTTTTCACCATAGTCAAGATTTTCCACCAAATTTCCATGATCCTGTCACATCATTACATTAATTATAAATAGCAGACACGAGCTTGCTGCTCTCTCTCTCTTTCTCTTCTTGCTACAAGATGTAGTTGTAAAAGGATTTCCGTCTCGACCATGTGCGGTCAGACATTAAAAGCATATTCACACATGCACGTATGTACAAAATTTTCCAAACTACATTACAAACATACGAAGCATTTCCAAACAAGCAACAAGAACTTTTCTCTTTGAAATACTTTTCTAAAGCTACAGTTTATTCAGCATTTTTCAGGTTCATAATTCATTCAACTTTTGTGAGCTCAGATAAAAATATTAAATCAAAGAGACATAACACCACTAAAATAATAACCTCTACGCATGTACATCATTACACAAAAATAGATATAAATGTTGATGTTATAAAAGCCGTTTTTATTCCTTCTTGTGTTTCATATTTTGTGATATTTTATATTAAATATAAATCGTGTGGTCATATTAATAAACAGACATCTACAAAGGGTCCATTCTTATTACATCCTACAATAGACTCAAGATAAACCTTTCCAAAACACGAACTAAGATCTGGAATTGAAATGAATGCAGTAATGGTGTATAGCCTGAATCCATCATAAAAATTCAAGATGTGAAATTAGTAAATACTAAACACTTCAAATACCTTAGCATATGGATCAGTTATAACAAATTTAGTATAGGAGAAAAGGAAATTAAACATATTATAGACTATGCTGGAGGTAGTTTCATCCAACACCGCAAGTTGCTACAAAACCAAAACATTAACATAAAAAATCAAGTCATATTTTTAAATAGCCTTGTCTGATTCAGATTTTCATATGGATGCAACCATTCAGAAATATCTAAACTGTCATAAACTGCTTTCTAAGATCAATTTTTAACCCTAGAACACTAACCATGAGTATAATATACCCAGTGCAAATTTTCCTATTTTTAATTACAATTTTCAGTACCTGATTTTCTTACCTAAATAATATGTTTTTCAGTTCCTATTAATGTTAACTCAAAGTACAAAGTTTGAAATACCTGCATGTAAAATATTTCAAATAAATATTTATATTTAATATATTTTTGGTATTTTCAAAATCAGGTATGATATACCCATGATTAATAGTGGTGTAACTTTAATTGATGGTTAGTGTCCTAGGGTTAAGAATGGCATTGAGTGAGTGAAGCCTGTGAGTTTTAGTGAATCTTGTGGGCTGCAGAATCTCAAAGAACTGTACCAGATAACAGAAAACACATCACTTGATAACTTTCAACACCAGCAACAATTAAAATGGATAGCACATATAATGACATGATCAACATTTTGACATTCCACACTTCTTCAAACAAAAGGTTAGAAAGGAAACCCCCATCAGTACTTGAAAGAGGAATAACAGCTACTGGAGTTGAGAAACTTATTTTCCTGAAAAATTGTTTTAAGAGAAAGATTTTATAAATTTCAACCTAAACCTGGCTGCTCAGTCTAATCTTGCCTTATAAATGTGGCTTAAGCAGTGATATATGTCCTGTTAATATCGTGCCATGCTGGACTACTATGGGTAAAAATGATTGACAAGACAAAATGTATTGTGTGCTTATCTGTAGCAACCAATGGCATGACTAACTCTGACTGATAGTAGCCAGAGACACTACACTTTATTGGAATACTAGCAGCATGGCCCGGCGTTGCCCATGCTTGATTCAAAAATCATATGACTTATACAGCAATCGCTATCACTTGACTTAAAATATTTTTGCCCTTCCTTGCCTTTAAAAGAGTGCCCTTTGCCGTGCTGATGTTGCTACATGCCTTACTTCTTGCCTATATCACACTGCGAATTTTTTCTAAGCTCTATACTAAACATTAAATCTGTTATGAAAAAAGAACTAAACAAAATGAACACAAAACGATCAGTTTTAAAAAAGGACTCATAACTGGAAAAACCGAATGAAAAGAGAATGTTAACAACAAATACTTTTTCACACCCAACCCAGTTCTGCGGAATCAGAATCAACGTTGAGTTTAAGCAAGCAAATGAGCCAATTGGAATATAGTGTCATGCAGATTTAAATTTTTCCCACTTGTGACGAATGCAGCTATCGATTTTTTTTGCATGCTAGTATGCTAGTTAGCATTTGTGTCAGTCAGCTGTTGGCTCTCATGCTGGCCAATAGAATCTTCCTGCCTATTTGTAGCAGCCAGCTATAGGCTCTCACTCTGGCCAGTACAAAATGGCCGCAAACTACATGAAAACTGCCGTAGAAGTATGAAAAAATCGATTATTTCCACTATCAATGGGAGTTGGGAAATGCAAAGCCAGCCTTGGCCTTCCCGCTAACTTGGAGCATGTGCATGTAAATTTTGGAAAATTGCGGCCGTGCATTCATCACACACACACACACACGCACACACACACACACACACACACACACACACACACACATCCTGCCTTTTATAGATAGAGATGGTTACCATAAATAATTACAAGGGAAATAACTCTGTATTTACTAATACATCACAAACAGCTAAAAAGAAAAAGCAAAGAAATAAGAAAAACATAAAAATTAAACAAAAAGTCAAGAATGAAGTATTGACTGGTGTATTTAGTAGCATTGTAAATGTGAGTTCAATCCCTAAGCCAAGCAGTACAGACTTAGACTCAATGGAAACAGGTTGAGTAATAACTATTTATTTGAATGTTATGTTCTGGGTGTGCATTGTCTGATGATTTCAAGACTCTTTTCTTTTATTATAGTGAGGTTCACTCTGTACAAAGCATGGTAGGCATTTGAAGCAGATAAGTAGGGAAGATAACAGTTAACCCTAGATTTGATCAGGTTAGTGTCCTGGGTAGGATGATAAACTACATCCGGCATCAAGGCCTCTGATCAGAAGGTTTTGAGGAGTGTGGAACCACCTCTTAATTGCTGTTGTTCCTAGGTATATCCTTAACCAGGGTGGTAGCACTTGTTAGAGTCCCAGCTATGGTCAAATACTTAAACCCAAACTGCGGTCAAAACACTATGAAAGTGTAAAAATAGGTTTTTATAGTAAAAATACAAGCAATACATTTTTTGAAAAAAATTACCAGCAATACTTTTCCAAAAAAAAAAAATGTTACCCTAAATACATTTTTAAAAAAATTATTACCAGCAATACATTTTTGGAAAATTATTACCATCAATACATTTTAAAAAAAGATAAAAAATAGTACCAGCAATACATTTTTGGAAAAATTATTACCAGCAATACATTTTTTGAAAAAAATATTACCATCAAAAAAACTCTCAACAAAAGCCCTCTTTACAAAAATATATCAATGAAACCTGATCTACAAACTGATATCTCACAAAGAATACATATTCTATTCATATAAAGTTATCCTAAAAATCTTGTCCACATTAAATAACCCATTGAGGTTGATATGTCATAAAACAAAATAAACCAAACCAATCTAAACCAAAGAATATATATTCTATTCATATGAAGTTATCCTAAAAATCTTGTCCACATTAAATAAACCATTGAGGTTGATATATCGTAAAACAAAATAAACCAAACCAATCTAAACCAAAGAATACATAAGTTATCCTAAAAATCTTGTCCGCATTAAATAACCCATTCAGGTTGATATGCCATAAAAAACCCCTGAAAAAACAAACAAAAACCAAACCTCTAACAGGTTAGGATTGTAGTGATTGTGAAAACATCTTGGGACTCAGTTCCACAGAGCAGTGCAGTGGTTCGTGGGGATAAGCTGCTTCAGTGGAACTTACTTCTCACCAATGGAATACGGATGGAATAAGGATGTTTCACTACAATGTACATAGCATGACAGGTCCCAGCTGTGAAGGCTAGAATTGGTGGAACTAGAAAATGTAGTTTATCTGAGCACTTTCTACGATAGGGTAGTGAGAAGTGGAGACACTTTTTGGCTCTAGAAAGTGAGGACTGGACAGCTCTTGCCCAAATATAACAGCAGTATTCCATTTTA